TTTTCTTTTTCTTTTTTTTTTTTTTTTTTTTTTAGTTCTAATAGAATTAGCAATGAAATGTGACATAGAGTTAGAAATAATCGATTCAAATGTACATTTTGTCGAAAAAAATGTACCTCAATTTGAACAACCTAGAATGCCAAGTATAGAAGAACTGAAACAGCTCGTCGATGTACAAGATGACTTAAAAAACCAACATGAACTCGGAAACGAAAGTGTGAATGAATATTTACACGCTAAAATACCATGTACCATGAAATTCGATGTCGTTAAAAAACAGTATTATGACAATGGAATCAAAGATTTAGAAAACATATATGTAGCGAATAATTTTACATTTACCGAAATTCTCCCGAACGGGAAACTAGCAATTCCTACTGATAGTGATACTGAAGACGAAGAAGAAGTTTCTAATTATATTAATAATATAGATCCAAAAACTATGTTTTTAGAAAACAAAATATATGACAAATACAATTTACAATTGTCGCAAGCAGAAAAAGATTCTATTTTTAAATCGAATACAATGAAAAAAATAGGATCTAAAAAATTTAAAATTCAACTTGAACGAAACACTAAAGGTCAATTTATCAAAGGAAATACTTTATCCATAAATGACGATGAAAAAAATGAAAATGATTTTCTTTCAGATACAGAGAATATAAATTTTCACAATAGTATACAAACCAATGTTAAAAATAACAAAGAGCAATTATTTTTATCTGAATGTATTAGCATTAATGATATCAATATTGATAATATAGATTTAAAAAGTGATACTTTTAATATAAATGAATATTTGAATCTAAGTGATATTACATTTTTTAATGATATTGACGAGAAGAAAAGTATAGTGCATAAGAAATATCAATTTTTTAGACCATTTAAAGAATATTGGATGTATCACTGTATTTTTAGTCGTGTAAAATCTAAAAATTTTGCCGTATTTGAAAAAGTTTTACCACGAACTTTTCGTTGGTTGTTAAACGAATGTGCACTAATTGTGGAAATGTCTACAGAGGATTTATATGAAGAAATATGTTTAATAGAAAGTTATCATTCATATGTTTTAAAATCTTGTGCATTCAAAAGTAATAATTGTAATGTAGATACAATATCTAAAAGTCAATTAAATTTTATTTCAAATAAATGGTAACATATATAGCACAAAATGTTATATTGATTATAACGATTTATATTGAAACGATATATCGATAATTTCGATTTAAAAATTAATTATTTAAACTAAATATTTATCTTTCTTTATTCGTAAATTATATAATTTTCGAAATTTAATTGTAATTACTAAATGATTTAACATTTTTGAATAAAATTTTTTAATTATTTCTTTAATTTCAATATAAAATTTTAAATTTATCCTAAAATCGAAAAATTTTTCAATTTTTTTATATAATCATAGTTCTTCCTATTCTCCGCTAGATGGTACTTCAATGTTTATATAATGTACAATACAAATTGGATTTATTACAAGGAACAAATCGATCACATATTGATAATTGAAAATTATTAACAGGCAAGGTATAAAATAAATTTAATAAATAATAATAGAATTATTTATACTTTTAATTTAATTTAACTTTTTTTCATATTATATGTAATCTAAACATAAAAAAATAAATTAATTATATTTCATAATGATATCGTATGATATAAATTTTAATTAATTTTCTTCATTTTCTTCGTTCAGACATATCTTGCAAATTGCGAATCATAATATCCGTAAAGAATATTTCTTTCTATATTTAAAAAAGAATTTTTATTTATATTAATTATTTTCAATAAAAATCATGTAATTTTATAAGTTTTTATTATAGTAATTTTTCTATAGTATAGTTTTAACTGTACCTTGGCAATCTGAATTATAAGTTTTTGTAGTTGTATAAATTTATCCTGAATGTTTTTCGTGAATTGTTTTTTCTCAAAATTATTTTTAGATTCTACGAGTATTTTATTATTTTTCAAAAATTCATACACTTTTACGGAATAGTTTTTTAATGCAATTTTCAATCTTGAATATTTTGATAACTGAAGATTTATAAGGGATCCATTTATATTTAACATTCGTGAAATTAACATTTCCATGTTTGCAAGCATATTCTTTAGATACATTATATTACGAAAATGATAAAATTGTTCTTCGAGAAGAAAATCTTCGTCCTCCATATAATCTATCTCATTCTCTTCATCTGTTCCTTCTTCATCTATGATATCATCGATATTACTATTATCGAACATATTTTTTAATTCCTCTATATTCTCCTTTAATTGTGTTTTACACTATATTTGGAAATTATATAACAACAATTATGTTTTATTTAAAGAAAAATAATAAACTATTAATACAAATATATATTTTTTTATTTCGAACTTACACGTGAATAACGATCCATAAAGTATAAGATTTTCTTATACTGATACGAATCTATTCTTAAACTATCAGACAGCTTATTCATTCGAAATAAATAATTTTTCCCTTCTTTTATTAATTTTTCAACATTTTCAAGGAATTGTAGTTTCTTTAATACTAGCAACTATCAATATAAAACCAACCACAAACATTAATTGATCTCTAATATAAAAAAAATCAATAAAAAAAATTTTCCTATATAGATTTTTCTTACCACATTTAATTTTCTTGCCATTTCAATAATTCAGTGTAATAACTTTTATTAATATTCCTTAATTAGTATTTTTGTTACTATTAATTATATTTAATTATATTTAATTCTGCATTATGTATTGGATTAAAATATTTAATTAATTAACAAAAATTAATTTTCTTGTATATTATGAAGATATTTTAGTACAAGTACAAATACGAATGAAAATTATTTTGACCATTTATAAAATAAATAAATCATTATTATTGATGGATAAATTTTCTTAAAATATTTCATACACTATTCACAATCCAATAACCAATAGAATACACATATGTCACATATATCTCTGTCGACTGAAGAACATTAACTGAATTTTTGTTTACAATCTTGTAATGTGACACTAACTGTCGAATAAGATAATTTAACCAATAATAAAATGACTACGTACCAAAATTTCGAACTGTTTTTATTATAAAAGGTATTTAATTCTTTATTTAATCGATTATTTCTATATTTCTATAGGATTTTATATTTTTATATAGCAAAACATAATAAAACTTTTGTCAATTTAATGTTAAAATTTTTTGTCTAATATTATTTTCAATTTTAATTCATTAAATCATATTTTTTTAATAGATTCCATTTATAATTTAATATATTAAAACTTACATTTCTCTGTCATAACATTTTCGATTTACTATTTATTATCGATTAATTTAACTTGTGGCTTTATTTATATTCTTTTCGTATTATTCTTTAAAGCACAGATAAATCGAAAACTATTATAGAACTGTAAATATAATTTTATTTTATAAAAATATATTAACTTTTACTATCAGAAATTATTATATATATAAATTAAGAATCAAAATCTAAAAATTACGAAATTATAAATCATTATATTAAAAAAAGAAAACTCATTTCTGATGTCATCGGTAGAAATCATTTATTTTCACTTGTTTTAAACTTTGTAATTTCATAATTGTTGCAATCTTCTATATATATATAATCAAAAACAAATCACAGAAGAAAAATCAGTTTCTACTGAGTCTTCATAAAATTTTCTTCAATTAAATTTTAATAACACACAATAATTTTTAATCATTCAATTTTTAATCATTTTTATAATATTTATACTATATATTAAATATACAATATTAATATTTAATATTGTTATAATAATAGTTATTCATTTATTTTTATATTTATTTGATTTTTAATTTTTTATAACATCCTTTTAATTTTTATAATTATAAGATATAAGAACAGAACTTTTAATTTAGATAATCAATAGTTTAGGAATCTTAGTTTAGGAAAGAAAAAAAATTAAAATCTTCCGATAATAAATAATAGTTTGGAAGATAAAAATTTGTTTATTTAAAGACATATGAAACACTAATTTTACTTTGAAACCGGCATTTTGAAACATGTAACATAAAGTTCTATAAGATGTCACATCTATCCCATCTATGATATAATTCCTGAATTTAAATCATAGAGGGCATATCAAAACTTCTGATTTTTTTGAACAATCGGTACTTCAGAATACGAGATTCTTAAATTTATTTAATTTTATAAGAATTTATTTTGTATTTTATTTATATTTCATTTGTTCTAACATATTATAATATACAAATATTATATGTATACGTATTACTTAAATATTACGAAAGAGGATTTTATTATTGTTTTTGACTTTACCAACATTAGTTCTTGAATCGAATATAGTTGTTAAATTCATCGGTTTGTATTGTAGAGGGCATACATACTTTAATTTTTTGCACAATCGGTATTTCAGAGCATGGGACGTAATGTTCCATAGGATGATAGTTCTATTCTGTACCTCATCTGTGGAATAGGATCGTGTTAATAATCGGAATCGACATTGTGGGGCGCCTCGGTCAAGCAACTGTTGCACTCATCAAGAGGCTCGCTGCTTCCCGGTGTGTTCCTCGTCCCGAGCCGATGGCTCGAGGGACGACGGAGCGTTTCAGTAGTAAACACCAGTTGGCGTAAGACAGTGTCGGATGGCTGTCATCGTCCTGCGGTCGCTACCACGATACGTGATGTATGTACAATCAGGCGGTGGTGTGCGTACGCTAACCGCGTGTGTATCAATGTTCGTTTCTTAAGAGACTTGCACGGGTATTCGTGCATACAAACGTGCATGCGTGCATGCGTGCGTGCGTACGGAAGCTTATTTGCCCTCGTGCTTTGAAGTAGTCGTGACGACGCGTTGTTATATACTTACTTGTGGCATTGCCCACTACGTTTATCGAAAGTGTACACCGTTATTACTTTTACATATTCAATTCAACGTTACACCTGTTCTCTCTGGTCCTGGTGTCGTTCACCGAGGTGTCTGGTTGCCCCAACGTCACAACTTTCTGTCTATCGTAAGTAAGCATCAAATTTTCTAATATCCAATCGGAGCAATTTAAAAAGAGACATATTTTGGAATGTTTATTTTTTTGCATAATATTGTCGTATGCGTAATATATGATGTTATCCTAAAATAAACTTCTAATCAATCTCATTATTACGTATTAAATACTCGATCTTCGGAACCGGAGATTAGAGCGTTGCATTATACCGAAAGGAAATTCTCTATAATTAAAGGTTCTCTCGTATAGATAATTGCTATATGTAATTGAATTTTAATATATTATCGTTCGACAATATTATCTATGAATCGATTTCAATTTCTCGGATCGTCGATCATTGGAAATGCGTTGCTAATTGTATTCACCGTTCACGGTGCCTCATTATTAGGTACTGTTGCATAAATATTGTCCTTTTTTTCCGGTGACGAAATCGATGAACCGTGCCAATGTATACTTCTTTCGATTTCAGTCGCACTTCTATAAATTTCGACATCATTCTATTTTCTCGTTCGATCAGATCTTCTTCTTTAAAGTGTATCGACAAAGAATTTATTTTGCTATACAAATTTTAATATAATTTCTTAATATCTCTCCGAAATAAGGCTAACACACAAAAATTCGTGAACGTTAAAGATGCGCTTGCGCATCTTATACTTTAGTTATCTGTCGCGCGGATAGACTAATCTTTGGCTCCAAACGTATCATTTTTAATTTCAATCATTGCGACTTTAAACTATTTCATTATTAAAATACGATAAACATGCAAATCGTTATCTTCTCAGACAGCAACGATTTTAATGAGATAAGAAAGCATTCACGCTTGGAACATGAATGCATTTTGTCATGAACGACAATAAATTGTGCAAAAGGATTACACTGTTCTTCTTTATATTCGAACAGAAAAATATTTTTTTGTAATAATTTTAAATTTACCTCAAAATATGTATTTCTTCTCCATATCTTGTTTTTAAACAGAATATTTTTCACCTATTAAATTTGTCAAGATTACGAAAGATATAACGATACAATACGTCAATTTCTTAGAATATCATGCATTTCTTCCGCTGACTATTACAAAAAAAAAAAAAAAAGAAAATTTAGCATAAGAACGATGTAATAATGAATTAAAACAGATGATCGATTTCAATATGTTATATTCTATTCAGATACGTGCATACGAAGGCAAAATGAAACGATTTTTAATTGACTAAACAAAATTTAAAACGTTTTCACGAAATATATCGCTATTTAATATCGAACGAGTTAATCTAAAAACTTATGATCAATCTTGCCACGTTTTTGTATTAATTCGTGACTCGTATATACGAATTTTAATTTATCTAAATTATTCTTAAAAAAATCATTTTCCTTTCGGTCCATTGTTCGCCTCTTTTTCTATTTTTTTTTTCTGGGCGTGACGACCGGGTCGATTAGCATGCCTACGCGCGTGGATAATTTGTATCGATTTTACCTGGCAGAAAAAATGATTTCTCGCGTAACAAAGCATCGAATGGTTCAATGAACCGTTCCTTTCTCCGAGTATTCGCCGAGCGATCCTCGGCTTCGCGTATCATCGATTACACATTATTAAGCTGATTTGCATTGTGGAGTGTAGCTCCCAAGGCATCGAGGTTGCACTTGCATTGGTGCGTGCACGCATTTTATATTTAGTCCCCTCTCCATACTACTTTGAAAGTTTCTGTAACGTTTGGGAAACAAACAATCCGGCAGTGGGTTGCTATAAATTGCAAGCCTTCTCGACAATATCTCTCGGTTCAACACCTTTTGCATCCTGTTGCATGCATCCTCTTGCAACAAGGGTGCATATTAATCAGAAACGGTTAACGGTCTAGTTTAGTTAACGCCGATCAGCAGTTCAATTGTCGAAAGCATCATGTTCCAGAAAAAAATATTGCCCTCCTTAAAATTACCTCCATCTAGCATTTCTAAAATTATCCGAGTAATCTAAAATTTTTATCATTTTTCTTATCCTCTTTCTTACAATTAATTAATTACTTAATGCATATTTATGATCACATTCATGATCCGAACGATGGAAATGAGAATTATTGCCCTTTCCTTCTAATCTAATCACACTCCCATTTTATAATTGTGTTATTATTTTACTTTCTCCTCCTCCTCAATATCGACTTTTATTGCAATTGTCTGTCTATTTGTCTGTTTTGCATGCGAAGAATCGACTTAATAACGTGTAATCGATCAGCTTTTTAACATTATCGCGAAGGACAAAAGTTCAAGAAAAGAATATCGTAGATGGGAACAAGAAACGTAACGAACGATGTCAGAGCAGATGTCGCAATTACATGATCTTGAATCGAAGTTGTATAATAATTGTAACGAAACGTTCGTCCCGTTTATTATTTATTTCGTCTCAACTCCAGCTGCGGCAATAATTGCCGATCGACGTTTCGAATCAAGCATCGGGAAAGCTGGGACGACACCACCGCGATCGTTATCGCGAAATGAAATTGCCACTTCGCACGAACTATACTCCTGTACCACGCTTTGCTCTCCGTTTCCTCGAGCCCTCCTAAAAAAGTCGCACGCGTTCGAAAGCGACAAGATATACCGGTCTGACGTCTGGTTAAACCTTCTCGTTTAGCCATCCCCGGCTGCTTTCCTCGCCGTCCGTGTTTGACCTACTACTCTCCTCGGAGATTCCCCGGTTCTTTGCTCCACTCGATCGATCGAACTTGTCTTCTCTTTGTGAGCGGGGCTAATGGAAACAGACGCCTCGGAAAATATTTAGAAATCCCAACTCTAATTTTCCTCGTGGCATTTTCAATTTCTTCGATGTAAAAAAAAAAAAAATCGCATAACAGCGTTTTAATCGATCTTTAATACCAATCAAGATGGGTTTCAGGAATTAAAGAGGAGAATCGATATTTTTTTTTTTCTTTCGAGAATTTTCCACGCACACTGCGCTGAAAATTAGAACAAAAATTACTTACAACGCAATTTCCAATATAATCCATTTACGGAGAAATTTTGCACGCGTTTTGCACGTAGATCCCTGGTTAACGCAGTTTTCGACTGCTTCGTTATCCGTTTGATTTTTATACACGCTCGACACGTATAGTTCTCTGCTTTCCGAAGTGTACCAAAGTTGGAATGGCTGTGAGCCAACTTGCCTTTTTTTTCTTCGAGCTGTAATTTTGTCTGTCGATGCACTCCGAGATCCCAATTTCGTGCATATAAACAGGGGATGGAGTCGTCTCGAATCCACCCCGAATGATTTTTTCCTTTTTCCAAAGGAATTCTCTCGCCGGATCTTGCCGATTCTTCGGTTCGCTGTCCTCGGTGACACGTCGATGGGAAAACGTCGATGACGTGGAACGAGGTTGGTGGAAGCAATGATTGGAATTTCGCGATTCGTGCAAATATCCAAGCTCTCGTTACCTCTCGAATTATTCGCTAATCGCTACTTAGAATTCGTTCGAAATAGGTTCTCCATTCAACCGGCGACTAAATGGGTCGACACGTGGGAAGTTGGAAAATAGGAATCGCTTTCTATGAACGTTACGCGCGCGCGCACACACACATACAGCGAGCCCCGTTTTCTAACTTCTCGCGAGTTTCTCGTGTAAATATTCTACGCTTCCTCGTCGAGGCTGCTAATCTCCTTTAACGCGCGTATTCACTTAACTTACGAACAGGTATTATTCTTGCACGTATTTACGGACTGTCCGTAAGTTTAATCGATGAGACAAACGAAACAATTTTTATGTACTGAATCATCACCTGGCTGCCACATCGGTTGCGCGCATCGATTACACATTGTTTCTAGACGGTTATCGATTAAAACCATATATCCAGGTGATGGCAACCCGGGGCGATCATCACCTGTTCGAAAATTACCAACTGAAACTACTCGCCGCAGCGGAAAAGTAAATTGAATTCTCGTTAACTTTGCACCTTTGAACTTTTATAAATTTACACTCCCGGATTCTAACGGATTACGATGTTAATAGAATTCGATCTCGGCCGACACCGATAACAACTTTCCTCTCCCTCAGGAGAAGAAATAGAAATCTTCCATTATCGAGGGCTCTCGTCTCCTTATCCTTCTCTTCTTCCTCCTCTTCCTCCTCCCTACTTTTTCTTTTTTATTTTATTTCAGCGACATCACGATTTTCACCATCTCGCGCCCGCTATCAATTTATCGCACCTGAGCGTGGCTCGTTAAATTTTCACCCTTATACGCAACCCGTCTAACTCCTCATCGCATGACACACCATTCCGATCAGCAATCGTTCTAATCGCTCTATCGATCGTATCCTCGTACGAAATTAGCCCTCTCTCGATGCGGTCGAATGAGAGAAAGAGAAAGGGTTGAAACAACGAAAGCATCGACTCGAACGGGGGTGGATTATTACGCGATGATAAAAATTGCAATTACGCTAATTGGCTTCGGAATAGAGAGTAAGTAGAGAGAGAGAGAAAGATGCTGTTTTCCGAATACAACTGTTCTCAGAGTGTACAGTCGGTCGCGAAAGTTTCTTCCACTCCTTCGATAATAAAAGTTTCAAAAATCTACTAGAATCATTTTGTTTCTAACTTTGTTCTTTAAAATGTATCTTTGCATTATTGGAAAACTTTCAATAATCCTCAAGGATTGAATTATTTCACCCGAGGATGCACAATCGAGACTGCGTTACCACATTCACAGTCTCGTTGAAATAAGAATCATTCCTTTCCAACAAGATCGATCGTGGTTGCAAGAGTAATGAAAATGGAGAGGAAGGGGCGTGTTGTCCCTTTTCTTTTGTTTATTTGTCCATTGACGAATGAACGCGAGTGGATGCGCTCCAGGAAAGAGCGTAAGGAATACTCGCGAAGTCGGCCTTTCACCTTGAAACAACGCGAAGCCCGAAATAACCCAACATCCTCTATTTTCGGCCAATTCTCTTCCCTCCTCGAGCACACTCCGATGCATCCCTCGACCGGCGTGCATGCACTTACGTGACACCCGTGTATATACATAGATAGCG